CATGTTGGTCAGGCTGGTCTCGAACTCCTGACCTAAGGTGATCTGCCCGCCTCAGCCTCCCAAAGTGCTGGGATTACAGGCGTGAGCCACCACGCCCAGTTAGTTTTTAATTTTTATGAGTACATAATATGTGTATATATTTATGGGGTACACGAGATGTTGCTACAGGCATGCAATGTGTCATAATCACATCATGGAAAATGGGGTTGGCCTACTGTTCCTGAAGGTGAAAATGAACAGAGTTTCTTATCACGTAGAACCTTTGGTGCTGTCCACTCCTTTCTAGCCCTTAAATCTGGCAGTTTGAGGTGGGTGCTTCTTGCGTAAGGAATTGTAGGTACCTGGTCTCCGACACACATACTCACCAACCGAGAAGGGTGGAACAGTAAACACAGGATTGCACTGGAAACAGTTCAGATTAAAATAAACAGATCATTATCTGCTTGATAAATCTGCTTGGCTAAAACCAATGTAAGTAGGAAGAAAGCCACAAGTAGATTGTAGTTTGAAGAATAAAAAGGTGAAAAGGGACGGGGCATGGTGGCGCACGTCTATAATCCCAGCACTTTGGTAGGCCAAGGAAGGCAGATCGCTTGAGCTCAGGAGTTCAAGACCAGCCTGGGCAACGTGGTGAAACCCTGTCTTAACAAAATAAAATTAACTGGGTGTGGTGGCACACACCTGTAGTACCAGATACTGGGCGGGCTGAGGCAGAAGGATTGCTTGAGCCCAGGAGGCAGAGGTTGCAGTAAGCCGAAATTGCACCACTGCACTCTGGCCTAGGTGACAGAGTGAGATCCTGTCTCAAAAATAAACAAACAAATAAATAAATAAAGTGAAAAGGCAGTGTACCTCAATACTTCCAATAAAGTCAGCACTTTGTGCACTTCCAGAGATGCAAAGCTTGTAAGGAAACGTTTACCTGGTGTCTTATACATAGTTTCACTACTTCTGGGGTAGGCACACTGAATCGATCTTGTCAGTTACCAGAGGACCTCATTCAGAATAGCTAATGATTCAGCAGGATGGAGGAAGAGTTTAAAAATTTCAACATTATAGCCTGCACGGTAACGCACGCCTGTAGTCCTGAGGCTGAGGCGGGAGGATGGCTTGAGACCAGGAGTTCGAGACCAGCCTGGGCAACATACCAAGACTCCCCCCGTCCCTTAAAAAATTCCAACATTAGGAAATTTATATAATCAAGAGTTGTGTTTATTTCAGTTACTAAAAGACCCTGCTGTTAACCCAAACTCCCACCCAGAGAAGTGTAAAGACTGCCTAGATTTCAGGAAAGCAGGGACAGGGAGTTAACCTAAATTTCCATGGATTCCAACTCACTGTCCTTTCCTTTGCCAATTTTCCCAATCCCCAGAGTTGGGGTCCTCTAGCAGTATAAGTGTTTAAGACTTAGATATGTGAGGTAAAGGTGAGTGGGTGCAGCACTGCTCTCGGCTGCTCTGCTACCCTCTCAACGACTCACTTCGCTCACCGCTCCTCTACCCCTCACGTCATCACGCACCGGCATCTCTCCACATCTTTCGTGCACACCGCTCACCCTCAGTTTCCCAGGCCTCTGTCCTCTTGCCCTTCAGCCGGCCCCGCACTCCAGTCTCCTGGTCTCCGACACACGTACTCACCAACCGAGTCGGGGAGGCTTCTCCCCTCATGCACCATCATCCGGGTCTGGATCGCCACCCACACGACCCCCCTATTCCCATATCCCTCGCGGCCCGGCTCCGACCACTCACCTGGTCCTCGCCCCGCAACCGTGGCCGGTCTCCTGGCAGCCCATCGCCCTCATCGCTGGCGGGGTCGCCGGGCCCTTCGTAACCTAGGACGTGAGGGCAGCCGCGGAAGGCGAAGTCTTCGAGCTCACGCAGAAGGCGCTGCTGCTCCGCCGGCGCCCCGCGCACCACCTGTCGCAGGCGGAACTGCACCT